TCGTCTCTTTCTCGCGAGTATTAACTTCCGACACACCATCTGCAGAAAAGTGACACGGCGCCCACCAGCAGCAAATCGATCGATTACCGCTGGAGAGGCTGTGTCCAAAAGTGTCGCTCGATTTGGAGCAGCAGCGTGGACTCCGATCACGCTCTTGTGCTTGTCGATCTTTAAGTGCATTTTGGCGGTCATCTACATCGTCGCTTTGAGCGCATGTACACCATCCAACTAGGGAAGCCAGGTGTTCGGGATGTGTATCAAAGTACATTAGCATCCGGTCTGAGTAAGCACCCACTGATCACCGTTGAATATCATTGGTCGCGTATTCGCCAGACATTGCTATCAGCAGGCATGTCCTCATGTGGCAAATCAAATTACCCACCTGGAAGTTGGGTCTCTACGCAGTCTCTGGAACTTTTGGATGCTGGCGGACATATTTCGGTTGGAAGCGAACAAATTGAGACTAGGAAAAATATCGGGGCAAAATACCATGCAAACCTGAAGAAAGACCGCGAATCGTGCTGGTCTCATCGTGCGTCGGAGATGGAAGTGGCCGTTGGTGTCTGTAACCATCGAAAGTTACTCCTTATGATACGTGAAACAAGCCTGGTGTTAGCGAGATTATACGCGATGAGCGTAGACGACCAATCTACAGCTTGTCGAAACACTAAAAGCGTTGAGCCGGACGCTTTACAAAGAATTTTCTTTAACCTGAGTTATAACAACTTTCGGGCATGGATTGCTCTTCTTCCTGCGCCTTCTTGTTGATTCCGACTTCACGAACATACTTCGAACCTGAGATCGGACTACTGAAATTGAATAAGGCAGCAGGAGCGGAAAGGCTTCCTCCAGCCCTCTTTAAATTCAGGGGCACTGCCACGTTAAATGAGCTGCACAATTTACTAGTGAAACTGTGGGAGCAGGAGACTGTCCCAGCCGCCTGGACCGTTGCGTCGTAGTCCCAATTTTCAGGCGATGCTCACGTTCGGAATGCGTCAATCATAGAGGGAGCAGTCTGCTCTTCATTGCCTGTCGTCTTCTATTGACTGATTGGAACTCCTTAAAGCTAGAATAGTGGGCAGCAAGCCGGATTACACCGAAATCCGGCTGCATTGCTCACATCTTCACATTACCTCAATTGTTGGAATGCAGCCATCTTTATTGGCGACCCACCGCAGCCGTGATCCTCGACATCGAAGTCGCCTTCGATTCGGAGGATAGATGCACCCTTTGGGACTCTCTACTCTGGAAAAGTGTGCCCTAGAATGCTGCAAACATAATCAGAGCTTTTTATACGCGCAGTTCGAGTAGAATGAAAGCTCATGGCAACTTGTCACCGCCCTTCATTAGCTCCAGCGGTATGAGACAAGGATGCTCGTTGTCACCATTCCTTTTTAACTTCTCCAGCGATGAAGTTATGGAAACCGCATTCATTGGCTATGACCGACAAGGTTTAGTGTTACTTCCATTTGAGCGACTTCCTGACTTGTAGTATACCGATGACAATGCTTTAATCTGAGAGCTCCCAATCGTGCCAGCAGCACTGGTCAGCTTAACACTGGCTGTTAGTCGTTTCAGCCTATGCTTTCACAATTGAAAAGTAAACTTTTTCTCTATGTTTGGCATGGACTCACCCTTGCGCTGATTTTTGGCTGTGACCAGCTGGAAGTCGTCCAGGAATTCAAGTGTTTCGGCAGCTATATTATGGCCCGTTGGATCAAAGATTAGATCACCATTTGTAAAGAAAAATTTGTGGAACTGTTACCGACCTCCGCCACCAGTATTGTCGCTGCGACATCACATTTTCCCTGAAGAACAAGCTTACAATGGGCCGTCCGTTCAACCCTCCTATGCAAATGCGATACCTGAACCATCAAATTGACGGATGTAAACAGGCTAGCTACGTTCCATCACCGCTGCCTTCACATCATTTCTTACATTTGGCGGGAACACTGCGTGAGCAATGAGCGTGTTCAGCATCGTCTAACTGGTGCAGGAAGAGTGAGTGAATCGCTGAGCACCGTTATATCACGCACCAGGTTCCGGTGGCTGGGCCACGTGTTGCGAATGCCATCACACGAAACCCCGGCGCGCGCGTTGATTGTGCGACCGAGATCGGAAAGGAAAAGGAGGAGTGGAGTCAAAGCGATGATGAATTTTTTCACCCAAAAGTTGGCGTCGGTTGTTTTCTCCAGACTGCCTGACTGGGGTCCAAAGTACGATCAACATCTTTGGTTGGCTACACTTGTTGACATGGCCAAGAGCCGGTCACAATGGCTTCCGTGATGTAAGGTACTTTGACCAACCTATCCGCTTATCTCCCATCGCCGAACACGTTGTAACACGTGATGAGTACTATACCACTGAGCATCATATTAATTTTTGGTAGTTTAAATTACATTATGCGATGGAAATATTTTGCTGTTACTCATCCCAACACTGGCAAATCCAACTTTGAATTACATTATGCGATCTCCTGAATCTCGCTTACTCACATATTATTTTTTACCGCGGCACTATGGCTGAAGCGTGTTACTCAACGCCCCCTAAAATGTGATGATTATGGTGATGACGCTGTCCTATTGAATTACTTGCCAGTCAATAGCAGGTCTTGCTCAAGCACATGAACAATTCGCACTAAAGCAGATAAAATCATCAAAAATGAGAATTTAAAATGATATCCGACCAAAGGCGCCTGCAATAACACGTAAGGAATTGGCTGAATATGTGGTGCAATTCTTCCAGCAATACCCTGGAGACATGCAAGTTCCTGCAGCATGGAGATACGGAATAATAACTTAAATTCACAAATAAGGCAATCCTTCCGACCCAGCTAACTACCATCATGTGACTATTTTTCCAGTTATTTCAAAAGTCATGGAGCTTATCACTGTTGACGCGCTCACGTCTAACTACGTCACGGAATAACAACATCGCTTACGCCGGAACCGATTGTGCACCACCAATCCACTGTTAGCACGGGATATTTGGACCTAAACAGAGAATATTGGTGTAGAAGTTGACATACTTTACATCGAGTAACTCAGAAGGTACTCGACCGGTTAGACCATTACACACTCCTAGTCAAAGTTCCGGTAACACGATATTAGCGATCCCATCATAGGATGGATCATTACAGTCCTCTTGCGCAGGAGTCTGGACGCAGAAGTTCGCGAATCGGTATCAACTATTGTCCAGGTTGAAGGCGGAGTGCCACAACATTCGGTAGTGTGGCCCCATTTGTTCTTACTTTTCAGTAACGACCTAGTGAGCTTAATTACTTCACACCGTAAGCTTCATACCAACTACATCAGAGTTTGGCTGCCGATGAAAGCACCAGATGACCGCATCTAGCTTCAAAACGACCACATACATTCATGAATGGTCAGTCCAAAATCGCCTTCAGTTCAAGGGGATTAAATGTCCAATACTCCATCTACGACACAAAATGGTTCACACCTAAAAGTTGAGGGACCAGCATCTCCAGAACTGCTCTTGTGAAAATTGATCTGTATCCTGATTCGGGGAGAATTTGTTGCTTGTAGGAATCTGCGCTAGCTTCAAAAATGGCATCAAAAACTTGAAGCTCTTTCATAGAGCTTCTGGCCACTTCGTCTCATCTGTTGCTGCCAGCAGAAATTGGCACATCACTATCATGGGACTTCCCAAACGACAAATCACCGCAAATTGCAAAGGACTAGGTCACTTACCTTCTAAACAGCGCCTGTGTATTTTGGAATCTTTCAGTGGATGCTATCGGCGTTTGCGCTGTGGGCTCATCATCTTTTCCAGATTTGCAGCAATCCTAATCAATCGGTCTGTTACCTGCTAAAGCTTAGCCACTATAGCAAGCTGAGAGGCCACCGACTTAAACACGTAGAACAATGCACCCGGCTGGTGTGCAGACGGATTTACATCTTACTACGTGTTTCTCACCTATGGAATTCCCTACCTGAAACTGTTACTTCAACCTCCACATTACGTGTGCTCAGTGATCATGTCGACAATGCGTCTGTCGCATCCTACCGCATCGTACACCGCACATTCAGAAAACGGAAACCCCGTTAACCCACGCCCGTGTTTTTTGGAAAACCAAAGTCGGTGACCATTCGAATTGCATGAAACCATTTGTGAACGATCCAGGTAGACAACAATTTTCTAATCAAGTGTTTATTTTTGGTATCGTTGGTGTCTAGATTGGTTATTTCTTTGCTTCTGAAAGCCTTCACACACCATTCTGCGGGACCTGTTAAGCTTCGGGTAATTTTGTCCTCAATATATCGTTGACCATTGACTTGGCTCTCTCTATCTCGCTCTTATCGCTTTTGATATTTGCTTTCCAATGGCGATATCTGGATACTCATATTAACCTGATCTCTTACTAGATGGTTGTGATAACGACATATAACCGTCTAGAGGGAAGGAGCCTAGGAAAACCACTGGATGTCCAAGCACCCGTGTATCAGCAGGGCCGCCTGCACACTGCAGTGACAGTAAACTGATGACCGAAACTGATATCCCGAAATTTGTATGCCGTGTAAACCGCTGTGCTCTTGATTGACAACACATTTCGAATGTTTGGTAGCAGCCATCTAGCCACAGACACTTCAATAGAAGTTAACTCATCTTTTCCTCGTTCGATATCATGACACTGGGGGTTCATCCAAAGTACCCAATTGAGTGTTTACATTCCCTACATTGAGCCCCTAGGATTTTTACATCTATGGGCATTCGGTCTGTGCTGGTGATGTAGCCTTCTGGGTGAGGTCTCATACCTTAGATGAAACACAGATTTCAGGAATAGCATTGTCGAACGAGAGATTGAACACGAGCAACCACAACTCAAGACTTCTGTTTGCTTGATTTTCTTTACCCAAGACCATTCTGACATCCTGGCCCAAACATTTTATTATTATTTCTTCACAGGAGAGTTTGCAAGTCGCCAACTGCACACCGCCGTTCAATTTCCATTGATCAGAGCGTACCGGAGTGTCGAAAAGATGAGCAAGACAGCGGAAGCAAAACAGTTGGTGTCCAAGTTACGCCAGTTGGTTTCGGACGTCGAGCTCCCGGGAGAACCGGATTTCTTAAAAGACGGAGTGTGAGTACAAGTTGAATTTTGTACGCTAAATGAAATGGGTTTTTTCACATTCCAGTAAACAGCTATTTGATAGACAGCACTACAAAACTTATTGATTTGGGAATACCAAAATAGTAGGTACTCGAAAATGCAGTAAACATTTTCTGCCAAACGGATTAGTTATTAGCCACTGTTATTAGGTTGGTATTGTGGCAAACTAGTTTTCAACCACTTTCAGTTCACCGTACGCACCCACTGGTCACAGTGCACAACGCCTTCATACAAAGCATGTTTCTCTCACACAATCCTTGGACTATTACCATCCAGTGTTAAAAAGCTAATGTAGTTTGGTTGTGTACCGGACTCACCGGGGTACTACATATCAGGCTGTTAAGGAAATGCGACTTTAACGAGTAAGTCTGACTTGATCTCTACATGGTCTCTGACCCTAAAATCACCAACCGTATCTCTCAAGTACGGTGCACAGCCTTTTGAGAATTGGCTTTCTAGGTCCTATCAATAGCGTATGTTGTACCTATAAACAGTAGCGCTTGTCAGTGTGCTCAGTTGGATAACCATTGTGTCCGAATAGTGTTGAGATTCAGAGAGGAAAAAACGACCAAGGAAGTAGTCAGGGCTCCGTGATTCCGTTGGAACAGCCAATACCAGACGAAAATTTGTGGTTTTCAAGCACCCGTAGTTCTTCGAATGCGGTATATTCGACTGAATTAATTGGGCTTTTGGTCCTAACCTGAATGAACCTACTTGATAGATGCATAAAAGTGTAACGATATTACCAGTACTGTTGAGGCCACAAGGCCAGGTTGTATTGACCAACCGACACAAACATACGGTGCGGACAGAATGTATCCTTTCGTTCTTGAAAATTATCCTATGCCTCGAGGAAGTACGGACTATAGACCCAATCATTGTGCGGGTCGCAATGATTGGAACCAAGACGGTGGGATTCATTACATTGTGTATTTCTGAATAATTGCTACAGCTAGACGCTGCTAATTCATGTGTGAACAGGGTGGTGTTGTTTATCATGAGAGAGCAATACACAAGAATTAGTTATTTCACATCCGGTCCCAGTGACCGAGTTGGATGGGTTTCATTTCAGAGTTCAGCGTGGCCCAGAACACAATTGTATGTTTCCATCCATTCTCAATACGGTAGTCTGAAAATGACTTCCACTGCGGATGTGAAATATTCGCCTAATGTAACTTCAGGTCAGTTACTAACCAACCGTATGTTCATAAACTGAGATCGTCCCAATTTGGTGCATTGAATCTCAAGGATTCAGAGAAGCTGTGAGTGTCGCATAGTGACAGTGATTTGCTTGCTGTGACCGGAAGGTTTTGGGGTTCTCTTCCCGTTAATCTTCTCTACCACCATTCCATTCTACTGAGTCATACTCCTCAGAACAGTCGGTTAAACTCTGAGGAATCATTGCCAGTATTTTTGACCATAATGACTGCACGGGTGCTCTGATTCTGTGTCGAAAAATTACTTGAGTATGTCGTATCATCAGCATCTATCAAAGAGGGCTATCTGAAAAGTTCGAATGTTTGCGTGTTAAGATGATGCCTTTGCATTTTACAGTGTGTTGTGAAAGCAAGGGCAGCTACGGCATGAGTTTCTCATTGACTTACGTGATACGCAATATCCTCATTCACCTCGGCAATGGGGAAAGCAGCAGGAACAACGACAACGTTAGTACAAGCGTCATGAAGACCAATGCCAATGGCTGAATTGATATTTCTATGTAGTTCAACCAGCACCAACTTGTATGACCCACTTGTAGACAGCTTCTCGCGAAGTCAAGAAATATACTGTATATTTATTTAATGGAAAGTTTACGAGAAGTTTATGCTGAACGCAACAGCATAGACACATTGCAAACAACACGCATGCCAACAGCACGCACGCCCATACACTGCATGCCTCTACCAGTCATGGGGTGATAAGGTGCCCACGGTGCAACTGCTTTCTTGCAGCCACCGCAGCTCCGCTTCACAATCAAGTTTGCACTAACGATAACTCAGCACAAATACATGCTACATAGTTCATCCCGTCGAAAAACGAGACTATACACGCCAGCCTGAACGAGTATGAGCCATGTTCGCCATTGTCACGAGCCAAATAGCGTGTGAATTACGTGGACCCCAATGTGGAAGACAAGATGAACCCGTCACGCCCACGTTGGTATACGGTGAATGCATTACTCGTTGTAGTCTGTTATAGCCGTCCATTTGGTTGGACTCATCCAAATGAAACGTTGCCACTTGTCAAGTAGACGAGTAACCAATTCAGACCGATTACGCGATAACGCCCGCGGAACTTATCCGCTGTTTAGACCATGATAGAAACTGCTAATCTAGTGAAGCACGCAATGCGAGACCAACGTCACTTCGCAGCCAGATCCCGGAACAAACAAAAAGTGAGATAGCGAAAGAAAGATAGAATTCTTGCCAGAGCAACACAGGTAGAGACATTTCTTAAGTATAGTACAGATGACTAACTACGCCGGGCGTAAGTTCTGGTGGGACGAGTTTGCTCACGAAACCTTGCCGCGTCGTCGTTCCAAGGCACGCGATCGCACTATGAGTGCCGCGCGGCGTAACCCTTTGATTACGCATGCAAGTATCGGAGCCTGTGCCTCTGATGCGTACTCTTGCTGAATCGTTTGACGTTCCCGCAATACAATTCAACGAGTGTCACCCTCGAGAAGCTTATTATCGAGTCAATAAGGACGATCTTTTTCGATAAACAGCATTCTGGCCCCGTAGTGCACGCCACACGCAACTCACTCATCTCCTTACCTCTATCCAACGCTCTAGCCTGATCATCCTCGAATAAAATACACTCTTTCATCTCATCGTCAATGATTAACCGATGTCACTAAGCACTAGCAATGTTACGGGGACAGTAGTGCCTCAGACATTAAAATCGAGACCTGGAGAACAAACTCTAGCAAATTAGTACGACCGTTAATGTGGCCCGATATCATCGTGCTCTAAGAACAAGGTAATTTCATCTACCAATGCTAGCTGTGTCGCAGACTCATGAAGGTAGTTCTAGCTGTCAAAGTAAGTGAGTCAATTGTAGTACTTACAATACCTTTGATGTCAACGCAGTCACCAGGTTAAGTGAATTGGTCAAACATTTTCAGTACCTCTTTGTCGCCGAGCACCAGGATAGCAGCTAATCTGTGGCCCTCTAGTGACACTGCACTTTTAAAGTTCAAATGTGGTATTAAGTGACGAAACTCCTCCGGAAGATTTTCCCAGTTTTGCCTTAGCACCTTGAAATTGTTGAATAAAAAATCCAAATCGTTCGTGCACTACAGATGAATTAGATTTCGGCTAATGCATGCTCTCGATAGATAGGCAGACCGAAGGCGGATGCTCAACAGCAACGTCTGGTGACTCCATGGCGGAGCACTCCACATGGAGATCCGCAGTAAAGTTTAGCAGAAATTGGGCGACCACCAGTTACCAGTACGCCTGTCAGTATCGTGTACATGAACTAGCCGTAAGCCCAGATTCGATCCGAATTATTTTGGTACAGAGCGTGAAGTTCTCATCGTCATGTGGAATGTCTATGCGATGCTTAGAGGTTCTAGATTTCCAAAGAGTTGATTCCCCAAAGAATTGTTCGAGTTGAGGTCATTTGTGTTAACACGATGTAGGTGCTTACAAAACTGGTAGTGACAATGTTCGATGGGAGCTCTGGAACATGTAGTGATACCCATGCAACACTATGTTAAACATATATAATAATGCTGACCAATTCATATGTCATTTCGATAAGGTTGCTTCTGTTTCTGAAGTCGCGGAATTGGGATTTGCGGTCTTCTGAACAAATGCTGCGAAAAGCACTCAACTGGAGGAAAGAAATTCAGCCACGGACTCTGCAATGCGACCAGTGTCACTGGAATCCTGGTTGTCACTCTTTGGTAAGTTCTTACTACCCATTTTTCGAGTAATTCGTTAAATTGCAATTCTTCCTAAACAGCCTGTAGTGATTCTCTGGCTTGAACTAATGCTAAAGAGTTGCACTTTTGCTCAATGCAAAATGGTCGATTGGCTGCGTAGCTAGGCACATCTGACTCGCAGATAGCTAATAATTTAACGGTACTAAATGCTCTTTTGGGCATATACTCAAACAACTTGCGATACATTCGCGATTTTGCAATCATGGCAGATGCATTGCGGAAACTGACTAAAATGAGTCACTGTTTCTTTGGTGAAGTTGTCAACAATATACTTACGAGGAACTGAAGAGATGGATTACCTCTGCTCCTTAGGTTGCTATTTTTGACAAATCATGCCGGACGTTTGTGTCAACTGACGCCTCCAATGGTCTCGGAGTTGTTCTTTCACAACAAAGACAGTAAAATCATTCATACGCAGCAGGACGAGCAAGTGTATCGTCACGAGGAATTTACTCTGGCGAAGATACAAGGAGTCATCGAGTGCCGAAACATGGGAAGCCTACACCATCCAAAGCAATCACTGCGTAAACCTGGTACGCGAAGAAAAAATACAGCACCAACAGAATCTAGCCGAGAAATTCCTTTTAAATCCCAAGCTTCTGTACAGACACGTCAACAAGCTCCGCAAAGTGCAGCGAGGAATTCCTGCTTTACACACATTGTGTGGACTTGCACAAAACGCAACCGAGGCGGCCAACGCCCTTTGTCAACAATTCGCCCCGAACTTCCAGAGCACGACAGCGCCGCATACACTGTTCCCGGACTTAGCCACAGCACGTTTACGACTGCGGATAATATGAAAAGGCCAATTGCCCTGCTCCAGCATATCCCTCCCGATGTTGCTAATATTCGTCAAAAAGCGTTGAAATTGGCTGCAGTAAACCTGGCGGACCCCCTCTGCAAGTTCTTCCAACGATGCCTCGATGAGATGCGCCTGCCAACAATGTGGAAGCAAGGCATCGTCACTCCCGTCCATAAGGGGGAAGTCGTGCAGATCCGGCCGACTGTCGCCCGATAACACTACTTCCGATGCTCTCCAAATTCATGGAAGCGATTGTCGCCGAAGCTCTGATGAACTTCTTGGAGGAACGCAATATCATAGCACAAGAACAAGATGGATTTCGCAAGAACCGATCTTGCACTTCAAACTTGCTGCTTGCCAGATCCATTTGGACTGAGACCGTTGACAGCGACGTAGGTGTTGACGCAGTACATCTGGACTTCCCAAAGGCTTTCGATTGTCTGAACCACCGTATCCTCCTTCATAAGCTGCAGTGTTGTGGGATTGGTGACCAAATCCTCGGTTGAATAGGTAACTTCCTGCTTCAACGACATCTGAATGTAAGAGTTCGCGGTGTCATCTCAGACCCAATCGACGTTAAGTGCGGTGTGCCTCAGGGCTCAGTACTTGGTCCACGACTATTCCTGATTTACATAAACGATCTCGCGACAGTAATCAACTCCAACTCCTTACTCTTCGCTGATGATCTCAAAATTTGGCGAGCCATTAGAACAACCAGCGACAATGCAGCACTTCAGGATGATCTGGACAGGGTCTACGGATGGTCGACTCAGAACCTGCTTCAGTTCAACGCTACGAAGTGCGAGGTTTTGAGCATACGCCATAAAGCCACTTGCGAATACAGACTGGAGGATCAAGTATTGCAGAGCACTACAACGGATTACGATGTAGGAGTGGTAGTGCAGGAAGATCTGGGCTGTTCCCGTCAGGCCGAGAAAGCCTCCAAGAAAGCTAACCAACAACTTGACCTTTTGCGGAGGGCATTCGGGCGCTTCGATCCTTCCATCTTTTATCAGATGCTCAACACCTACATTCGGCCTCATTCTGAGTACGCCATCCACGCCTGGCAGCCATGGCAAAATCAAGATCTTAACGCACTTGAACTGCCACAACGAACGGCGACCAAGAACGTAAAGGGCCTGTTTCATCTCCCTTACCAATTGAGGCTGAAAACCCTCGGGGTCTACAGTGGACAATATCGACGCCTGCGTGGCGACTTGATAATGACTTATATGATCCTGAGGAATCCAAACCATTGTTGTCGTCACCTACTAAAGCTGAATAGCAATACAACACACAGAGGACACCAGCTAAAGCTGGCCACCCAATGCAGCCGGTTGGCATGCCGCCGGAATTTCTCTTCCCTTCGTGTATGCGAACACTGGAACGCTCTTCCCACATACGTTGTTTCTTCCCCCACGCTAAAGGTATTCAAAAGACATCTGGATGATTCGCTTATCCACCTACATTACGCTATATAATCAGAGATGTCCAAGTCAAACAAAAGCAAAAAAGCGGTGCTCATTCGCAGCTTTGTGCTTCACTATTTACACACTGCTGTTGTGGAATATAGTTTCGGATATATTACAACTGCATTCATCAATTACCTCAGTCCAAGAAAGTGGAGCACGAGTAAGCGTTGGTCGTTTCTCTTGTTCTTAAGACATGCCTTACCTATATTACTTCCCATATTACTCTACAGTAACAATTAAGTACACATTCTACAACGTTTCTATGAATAAGGTGCACTTGAATTCACTAGACGCTTAAACTGACTATTTACACTTATGTTTACTTTCATTTCAACCATCCTACGGGACTTGTAAAACAATCGCTTTTTTACCTGTAATATATGATTGTTCATTGTTCAAGTACAAAATGATGAAAAAGTTACGTTTGTACTTCGCAGAAATTATCAGACTAAGAACGTCTTTGCTCCACCGGTGATAAGCGCGTCCTTCCCTGTGTGTGGGCTTAGGACAAATGGCACCTCCTTGGCCACCGTTTCATTTTACGAACTGATCCATCTGCCCTTAGCACCCTCCTCAAGAATGGATCTAAAGGGTTCCGCTCGATGCGGATCAGCCGTTGATACTCCATACTTATCTGTTATGACCCATAAATAATTTACCGAAAAGAATGGCAGAGTCAGATTGTGGATCGGTTATCCTGGCTACTGGCGAATAGGAAAGAAGCATTCAAAGAGACGGCAATGGTGTCTAGCCTTGGATCCGATTTAGCTGCCTTGTAGATTAATGAAATACAAACCGCGAATGCGCGGGACTCAACCCTGCAACAACCCCACCGCTTACGTGTAGCCGGAATGACCGAAGAACAACAAATTATCCCATGAGTTCGTTCGGTGCTATGCAATTTTTTCGGTCGTAAATGAGTGTTTAATGTGAATCCCAGTCTTGGTAGCTCCATTGTCTCTCGTTAGCAAAATGATTACCTGGGTTCATGGGGTCATGCAGGTATTGCCCGAATTACAAATAATGTACAACATTACTTTTTGCGGTCACTATTGGCACAAAGTATCGAAACATTGTGAAAAAGTGTCAGACTTGCAGGTTGGCGTATAAAAGTTCTCTACTTATTGAGGCCCCTATACCCAATGAGGCCGTGGGCCGAAATTTCTACGGACGTTATTTGCCTCTTCTCCATTGCTCCAGTGAATAAGAAAAACGTGATCCTTCCAACGTGTTTTTACAGCAGATGGCTTTGAGTTCATATATGTGACCAATAGACATCTTCGGTATTGCTGCGCTGGCTCAAACACCTGTCGTTTTGGATTACCAGAGAAAGTGGCCACAGACGATGGTCTACAATCCTGTGGTTATGATTTCGAAATCATCCTCCGACGTCAGAAGGTAGAGCATTCCCGGACTGCACCCTACAATCCTGCAGCTAATGGCATGGTGGAGCGGTTTAACCAGTGTGTCAAGGAGGCAATACAAGCTATCCAATTGGAAGGGGTGGAGAGGGCGATATATGTCTTGACGATGCTGCTATCGTACAGAACCTATGAACATAGAGTAAGCATACCAGACTTACTACTGCGCACATGAGGTCCTTTTCCGTAGATTCCGAAGTGCCGAAAAGCATATCAACTTACCAAAAATCCTACGCCAGATCGTCGTTTCCACTGTAGCCGGAATCCTCGATTCTGATTAAACATTACATTGCTTTAGTGATTAACCAAACACTTTATGCGCCGCTGAAAATCACCTACACATGTGCATCTGGAAAGTATCGATTTATAATTGGATTGAGTTTAAAATCCCAATCGTCTGTACAGACCAGCTGGCCCGACCACTTAGTCCAGCAGGATATGGGCGAAAGTCAGACGGGGCCGTGAGCTACGCATGTCTAGCCGGCCATCTAAACCAGCTGATGGATAGCAACCTGCATGAAACGAATTTCCCTACGAATGAAGCGGTGTTGTGGTTTGTTGCCTTGAGATTATACTAGCTGGTTGAACTTCGCTCATTGCGGATTGACCGCTTGGCTAACTTTAAAAAACTTACCGTTTCGTTCTATGTGTTCCACCTTTACCTCTTACATCTTCGCTTTATTCGTGTACATCACGGAGTATTCTCTATAGTATGTAGTTAGTCAAGAGAAATAAACAGTTAAGGTCAGTTGGACGACAGTTCAATTCAACCAACAATGGCGGAACACATCAGAAGTGTCATGTAATGAAAACTTACAAACTGGACCATCGAAACCACAAGGCGTTGTAGCCACCGAACGCACCACACAAGAAGAGTGCGTAATTTTGTAGTTAGGCATTTCCGTGTGGTTTCTGGAGCAACTAATTGTTTTGGATGACACACAGCAGAAACCCATATGCCCTTATAACAGCATCACTAAGGAACACACGCTGAGTTCGTTGGTTTGTTGGCTGATCGCAGCATAAGTTTTCTGAGTGCCCGATGAAAACAGTTGATCCGAAATCTGCACAGTGCCAACAAGTTTGAAGCACCTTTCAGTTGCCTCAGGTGGTATTTATCTTGCGGTGACGTCGCACGGAACAAATGTGGGCATGGAGCAAGGTGATTGTCACATGACTGGGTAGCTGTTTTACTTAGAATTATATCTATCACTAAGGCGAAATATCGATTATCCAGGTTGGCAGTTAAGGTGTCGAGTAGATCAC